CCCCCCCGCCCTCCGTCTGTCGCGTTGGACCGACTGCCATTGGCCGCAAGCCCACGCCACCGAGATCAGTGACGGGATTGAGCATGACAGGCGGAAGCGATGGGTAGAGAAGGACTGCACTTGTGTTGTGTGTGTGTGTGTGTGTGTGTGTGTGTGTTTGTGTATGCGTGTGTGTGTGGGGAGTGTGTCGAGGCAGCGACTGTATTGGGTGCGACTCACGGATGATCCGATGATGACGACGACGATAACGATGACGATGACGATGGCGTTGACGATGACGATGGCCACGGTTGCTGGGGGATAGGCCGACAAGACTGGCCCCGGCCTCCATGGCCTCTTTGGTCGTGTCTCGGGCACCAAGCCCGGCTACGCGTACACCAAGGCTAACCGCGATGCTGGCATCCTCTGGCAGGAGGACACCCTCTTCGCGTACCTGAAGAAGCCGAAGAAGTACATCCCGGGCACCAAGATGGCGTTCGCCGGCATCAAGAAGGCCCAGGAGCGCGCTGACCTCATCGCCTACCTCAAGGAGGCTTGCGCCTAAGATAATCTCGCCGCTGGTCCACGTGAGCGCGTCCTGCTCGCCCTCACAAGGCAGGAGCCCTGGCCTCTTTGTCCTGGCCTCGCGCACATTCGCTGCAGTAACATCAATCTTGTCCGCAGTCACTTTCTTGCTCTCACGACTCTGGCGGCCGGGCCTGGCGGTCACGAGCCGGCGGCGCGAGCTGCGGCACGCTCGGCCCAGTCCGCCGGCCATCCAAACGAGGCTGCCAGAGCATGTGCGCCATCATCGGCATCGCCAAGCAGTGCCACGTCGCGGTAGTTGGCGTCGGAGGTGTGGTGGACAAAGGGGCCGACCGGCTCGCGGTTGATGAGCACCCGCGGGGTGAGGAGCGAGACCTCGTTGACCAGCGCCCCAAATGGATAGACCATGAGCGAGGTGCCGATGACGATGAGCAGGTCGGCGTGTTCCATCACGGTGTTCCGTGCCTCGGTAAACGAGGCAGGCAAGCCCTCGCCAAAGAACACCACACAGGGCCGGAGCGTGGAGCCGCACGCTGCGCAAACCGGAACATCGCCTGCGAGGACTCGCGGCCACACAGCCTCGCCGCTAACCGCTTCGCTCGAGCACATCGGATCCAGGCAGCGGAACCGGCGCATCGTCCCGTGAGCCTCGACAATCTTGTCGGCCGGAATGCCGGCCGCCACCTCGAGCATGTCCACGTTCTGGGTGAGGATGGCGGCAAGCTCGCCGCGTGCCGCGAGCTCAGCCACAAAGTAGTGGGCACTCGTCGGCGTGATCTCACCGGTCACCACGCCGCCAAACAGCTCCGCCATCTTGGCGTAGAAGCTGACTGGATCGCTAGCGACCGCCGACGCCTGGAACGCTGACCGCCCCGCTGCGGTCGAGTACACCCCATCGCTTGTCCGATACGCCGGAATGCCCGCGCTCACCGAGAGGCCGGCGCCGGCCAGTACCACGATCCGTGGCGTCCGCCCGAGCCGCTGGAGGTAATCTGCTACGCCGGCGGGCGTAAACTCGCCACCCAGCACCGCCCTGCGCTCTGCGATGGGGATGCGGTTGTGCGGCCCGCGCCGCGCGATGTAGCCCTTGGCATCCAGATTGCGGCGCTTGTCCTTGTCAAAGCGATCCAGCGCCGCGGGCGGCCACCGGGAGGTGAGCGCAGCAAGCACTGCGTCGGCAACGCGAGCGTCTGGCCCGCGCATGTTGTAGGCCACGTGCAGCGGGCTCCACCCCTGCTCGCTCTCGATGGTCGGATCTGCGCCGGCATCGAGGAGCGCCTCGAGGAGCGCGACCGCTGACATGCTTTCTGCCTTCCACACCAGCGCGTGCAGCGGCGAGGCTTCACCATAGTCGAGCGTGTTGACGACAGCAGCGACGACAGCAGGATCATGAAGAGCGGCGGCGATGGCGGCAAAGGTCTCCACCGCGCGGTCGCCAATCGTCCGCACCGCGCGCGCCAGCGCGTGGATTGGCGTCATTCCATCGTAGTCCTGCATGGCAGCGAGGGTGTGCGGCGCCGAGGCGGCGGTGATGAGGGCACGCGCAAGTGTAGGCCGGCAGAGACTCGCGATCTCGTGGAGCGCGGTCGAGCCAAACCGATTCGGCGCCACGAGGATGGACTCGTCCAGGGCCGGATGAGCGAGGACGAGATCAAAGATAGCCAGCGCTGCGTCGTCTTGACGGGCGTGTGCCGCCGCCAACGCCAACAGCGACTCGCCGCCTTTGGTCACTGTGTTGACGTCGGCGCCAGCATCAAGCAAAAGCCGCAGCACGTGAGCGTGGCCCGATCCGGCGGCCAAAGCAGCGGGCGTCTCGCCGGTGGCGCTGCGGGCGGCGAGCGTGCGCTCGAGGGTGCCGGCGGCGCGCAGGGCGGCGATGACAGCCTCTGCGAGCTCGGCATGACCCGTTGCTGCCACCGAGTGCAAGCCAGTGAGGAGGTTGCGCCCGCAGGCGATGCTCGGGTCGCCGCCGAGCTCGAGCAGGAGGGCGGCGATGGGCGGGTGGCGATTATGGAGGGCGATGAAGAGCTGGGTGTGGCCGTGAGCGTCCTTTGTATTCGCCAGCTCGTCCACGGCAGCAGCATCGTCCCAGCCACAGAGTGCGTAGCTGTCGACAAGCGCGCGGGCTGCCTCCTCGTGGCCCTCAGCCGCTGCTAGGTGCATGGCAGTCCACTTGGACTCGGGCGTGAGAGCGTTGCACCAATCGCGGACCACAGTACCATGGCACGGCGAGTCGACGAGTGCCCACGATATGACATCGCTTGCATCGGCCAAAGCTGCTACATGCAGTACGGTACATCCGTATCCGTTGGTGACATCGAGAATGGGCGGAGAGACGGTCAGGTCGACGTCCGCCACGTGAGCGAGGAGTCTATTGATGACCTCCAAACTCTTCGGATCGTTGGCTCTTGCCCGAACATGCAGCATCGTATCGCCGTCATCTCGACTCCGTAGCTCTGCCACATGCTCAGCTGGCATGTGGCTCACGAGATCGAGTACTTGCTCAGCGCTCGTGGTCGGCTCGAGGAGCAGAGCTTCCATTTGCTCGCGGTGCGATGCCTGCGCCCAGGAGCGCCAACGGGCGTAGGCCACAGCGCCGCCCATTGCTAGGCCTACTGCACCGACGGCGGCAAGCATCTTGGGGAGGGTTGGGTGGAGCATGGTGGTGGTGTGTGTTGGGGGGGGGGGGGGGGGAGAGTGGTGCAGGTGGCGGCGGGCGACGAAGACGGTAGGCACTCAGGCCACATACGATTCGTTCAATAGGCGAGGAGTGGGCGGGGAGGGTGAGAGTTGAGAACTGATTAGGCATCGTCAGCGGGCAGGAAGGTGGCGACCTTCTTGATGATGGAGGTCTGGGTGACGACGCCGATGGGGGCAAAGTGCGACTCAGACTCGACAATGTAGACGCGGTGGACCTTGGTGGCGGCGAGCTTCTTGACGATCATGTGGACGAGGGTGGTCGGGTAGACGACGATGGCCGGGGTGGCAATGTCGACCTGCGAGGCCTGGCGGAGGGCCTTGATCATCTCGACGACGGGCATGTGCAGCTGCTGGTACGTCGGGTTCTTGATGAACTTACGCAGATCCTTGCCGGAGATGTTGGAGACGATGGCACCGGAGTCATCGTCGATGATAGCGATGCCAGTAATCTTGTGGTCATCCATGATGGTGAGCGCCTCCAGGACCGTCTGGGTGGCCTTGACGCAGAGTACGTTCTCGACGTCCTTGCCGAACATGGCGTTGGCGGTGGCGTTGATGAACGACTCGGGGAAGGCCGTGATGTGTGTGGCAAAGAACAGGATCATGTCCGAGAGCGAGATGATGTGCTCGGCCTGACCGTCGTCGTTGACCACGGCCACGCGCTTGACCTTGGCCGTGGTGATGAGCTTGACGGCGTCGCCGATGGTGGCGTCAGCCTTGACGCCCTTGAACGGGTTGCGCCGCGCGAGGTACGAGACCGTCACGTTGTCGAGGACAGAGCCGGCGCCAGCCGCGCACACATCCGCCACCATAAAGTTGCCCTCATCGATGTGGGCTCCAAAGTGGACCAGGAACGAGGTCAGGTCGCGGACGTCGATAAAGCCGACATACTTACCGGTCTCGGCATCCTTGACAGGCGCAGACGTGATCGAGTTCTCCGCGAGCGTCTACACCCCCGCCTCCCCACACCCCACACACCCACATTTCCAGCCATTCGCCCCCGAGCCCATCCCGTCATCACACTTGCGTCAGTACCATGCCAGGACAAACGGTTAGCCTGGTGAGCCCAGCTTACGTTGGACGTTTTGTTCGCACGGGCTGGCGGCAGGTCTCCGCGTCACCACAAGAGGGCCACCACCACAACGTGACCACCACACCAATGGCTACGGGCACCACCACCTACTAGACACAGTGCCCTCCATGTGTGTGTGTGTGTGTGTGTGTGTGTGTGTGTGTGGAGGGGGGCAGCCTGGTTGCCGCTGGCAGCCGCTGGAAGCCTTTGGGTTGGGTCGCCATAAAAAAAAAAGGTCGTCCTTACGGCAGGCAGGACACCATTTCAGCCGACAGGGGAGGGGGAGAGGGCGGAGGGGGAGAGGGCGGAGGGGGCACGTACGGAGAAGGCGTCCGAGAGCTCAGCGGTGGAGGAAATCTCAATGACATCACGACGAGAACGGTTAAGCGAGACCAGCGGAGTGGCAAACAGCTCAGCAAGAGGAACTGCGGCAGCCATGTTGTGTATGGAGAAGAGTTGGGGGGGGGGGAAGGAGGGGTGTGGGAGGGAGGGGGTGGAGGAACGGTGAGGTGTTACGGTGCGTCAGAGACTGGCGCGGTCTGTTCTGTCCCAAACTTACCCGAGCCGCAAAAGGCTGTCAGCCCGCAGCCCGCAACCCCGGTAGTCCCGCAATCGGCTCCCGCATTGTTCCTTGCTGTTGTTTTCATCATTTTTTTGTGGTCAAAGGGAGGGGGGGAGAGGGAGGCTGGGTCCGGCAACGACGCCGAGACGAACTTGGTTTGTCACTTCTCCCCCGACTTGTTGACCATGGGCAAGCGGCGGCGCGAGTCTCGCGACAAGGAGAAGGCTGAGATTGAAGCCATGGATGAAATGAGTTCCAGTCCCGAGGTCTTTGACCTTGAGCTCTCACTGGGTATGTGCGGTGTAGGGTTGTGTTGTGTGTGTGTGTGTGTGTGTGTGGGGGGGGGGGGGTGTTGCGGTGTGTGCCCTCGGCGTGTTGCGACATGACGGCGAGAGCATGATTTTTACCGGGGGCGTAGGCGCCTCCTGTTGCACTTACACCAGATGGGACTGGATGTGTGAATGTGTGGACTGCACGTGTGTATGTGTGTGTGTGTGTGTGTGTGCGTGTGTATGTGCGTATGTGGGGTTGGTGGTGGGGGTGGGGCGCGGGCCGGCGGGGCACACACAATGCGACCTTTTTTGGACACAGCCCGGCCAGCTGTTGTCGCAGCAGCAGCTGAAGCAGCGGCATCAAGTGCAGGCGGTGACGATGGCGGCGATGACATTCGCCCGGCAAAGCGGAGCCGCGGCCTGGGAGGAACGGACGGGGGGCGGGCGAGCTGGCCTCGCTGGAGCTCCTGCCTGAGGTCAACATTGGCGACGTGGCGTACAGCAAGGCGTCAATTGTGCGGATGAAGCTGGTGAACTTCAAGGCGTACGAGTCTGTGGAGCTGTTCCCCGGCCCGCGGCTCAACGTGGTCGTGGGGCCTAACGGGACCGGCAAGTCGTCACTTGTGGACGCGTTCTTCCTCTCGCTCAACGCGAGCACCAAGCTGCTGGGCGGGGCGGACAAGGAGACGAGCTTCATTTCACACGGGCAAACGCGTGCCGAGCTTGAGATCGAGCTGTACAACCCGGACGGGCCCAATTGGGTGGTGCACCGGGCGATTGTGCGCAAGGACCTGGGTGATGAGGTGGGAAAGTCATTGTGGCAGATCAACGGCAGAAAGTGCAGCAAGCACGACGTGTCGGCGCTGGTGACCAGGCTGGGCATCCAGTTTGACAACCTGACGCAGTTCCTCCCGCAGTTCCGAGTCCGCGAGTTCTCCAAGCTTGAGCCGCGGTCACTGCTGGAGTGCACGATCCGGGCCATGGACGGGAGCGAGGCCGGCAAGCCTGGCTCGATGGTGCAGGTGCTTGGGGAGCTGAGCAAGCACCGGGTGGAGCAGCGCGAGCTGGAGAACAAGGTCGGGGCGCTGGAGAGCGCACTGGAGGCGACACGGACCAAAGAGCAGCGGCTGAAAGGCGAGGCCGACCGGTTCCGCGAGCGCGAGGCGCTGCGAGACAGGGTGGCGATGCTGAGCAAGGTGTTGCCGTGGCTGGAGTTGGCCGATGCTAAGGTGCGTTCCAAAAATGCCAAGGCGGAAGCGGCTGTTGCCAGGGAACGGGTCGTCAAGCTGAAAGCCGAGGCGCGGCCGATGATCGAGGAGCTCGACGAGGCGAAGAGCAAGCTGTCCGCGATGGGTCAGGAGTTTGCAAAAGCCAGACAGTCCATGGAAGACATGGTGACGAAGAGGGAGAAGATGAAGGATCTTGTCGAGGATGCCAAGTCGGACGTTCAAACGCTGTACGATCAGATCAAGAACCATGAGCGCGACATAGCGAAGCGGCGCGCGCAGCGCGAAAATCTCCAGTCCGAGATTGCGAACCAGAAGAGCATGGCCAAGAAACTCGACCCGGGAGCGGGCGTTCAGGAGCGCGTGGATGAGCTGAATGCCGAGTTGCAGACGGCGAAGGAGCAGGTGCAAGCTTTTTCGTCGGTGGCGTCGGAGCTGAAGCGCGAGGTTGCAACCGGTGACCACCGCCAGTCGCAGATTGAGGCCAAGCTCAAGGCGTACGAAGCCGTGATGTCCGAGAGGCGACAGCGATGCTTCGAACGTGTTGGAAGTCGAAAGGCGGGCCAGTCTCTGCGCCGGGTGTGTCAGATCCTCGACCAAGCGCGGGCCGAGGGCAGGCTGCGTGGGGTGGTCGAGGGCCCGCTGCTCGCCACGCTCGACGTTCCGATCGAAGTCCACCGCAACTACCTGGAAAAGGTCATCTCGAAGAACAACAAGTATATCATCCTGTTCTCGGACCCTGCCGACCTCGAGATGTTGGAGTCTAAGTTTCCGGAGTTGGCGTTCGCGGTCAACACAGTTGTGGTCGATATGGGCGACCCGTTTCGCTCGCATCCAGCGAGTCTGGAGGAGTTGGCGCGTTTCGGGGTGGAGAACTATCTGGATGCAACGTACGATGCGCCTGACATTGTCAAGCTCTTCCTCAACCGGAGCGAAGCACACTCCTCAATAGTGTTTGGTCCGGAAACCATGGACAAGGACGAGGTGTTCCGGGCCTTTCCCGCGCTCAACCGCATTTTGTCGCCAAAGTCGTTTGCAATGTACCGCAAGTCGAACTACGGCGCGCGGCAGCTGGTGGCGTCGTCGTCGTCGATTAACCGTGCAAATGTACTCAAGAAGGATACGCCGCCTGCGGACGAGATTGCGCGCCTGCAAGCCAGTTTGGACGCTATCAAGGCCGACCTCGCTGCACGACGGGCCGAGTTGCGAAAGGCTATCCAGGCACACGAGACCAAAGTCAATGAGCTCACTACCTTGAAGGCCAAGATCGGCGAACTCAAAAAAAGCTCAAGATCCACAAGAGAGCAGAGGAGAAGGCCAAGCGCACGGAGAGCGAACTCGCGAACCTCAGCGAGAGCAACGGGGACGAGCTCGAGGAGTTGCGAGCCAAGCTCGCAACGAAAATCACGCGACTGATCCAACTCGCCGGGAAGGCCGCCAGCCTGGCCAAGGCCGTGGTGCAGCTGCGGGTCGTCCGCGACTCCAAGTCGCTTAAGGAGAGCGTGGCGAGGACGTTTGAGCGGCAGCTGCAGACGCAGTCCGAGGCCGTGCATAGCATGATCGCGGATGCGGAAGAGGCGTACAGGCAGCTCGAGACCACCGCCAAGATGGAAAAGTCCCGGGCCAAGGGCGCGCAGCGGCATGCGCGCGACTTGTCGGGCGTCAAGGAACCGACGTCCGAGATGATGCAGGTCATGGATGGCCTTGAGAATTCGACGGCCCGCGCCAAGTCGGCACTGGCGACGAAGCGGAGCGAGCTGAGCTCGATCCATGGCAGCGAGTCGAGCGTGGTTGAGTACGAGAAGGTGCTCAAGCGGCGGAAGGAGCTCGAGGCGCAGGATGAGACGCTGAAGACCCAGCTCAACGGGCTCACCAACAAGATCGCATCGCTGGCCGAAGGCTGGTCGGCGCGAGTTGAGTCGGTGCTGGTGGGGATGGACAGGGACTTTGCGGCGTACATGCAGCTCATCGGGGCGTCAGGCGGCGTCGAGCTGGACAAACCGGCCAACCCGCTTGACTACGACGAGTACGGCATTGTCATCAGCGTCTCGTTCAAGGGCTCGCGGCCGCGGCGGCTCAACTCGCAGACCCAGTCGGGCGGCGAGCGGGCCATCTCCACCATGCTCTACCTCATTGCGCTGCAGTCACAAGTCATCGTCCCGTTCTTCCTCGCCGACGAGATCAACCAGGGCATGGACGTCAACAACGAGCGCAAGGGCTGGTCCATCCTCGCCGCCGTTGCTCACCGCCGCACCGCGCAGGCGTTCCTCGTCACACCCAAGCTCCTCACCGGCCTCCCGTTTGCCACCTCAACCCGCACCCACTTTATCATGAGCGGGCCGCACCAGGCACCGCAGTCTGACTTTGCCTTGGCCGCCATGCCCACCACCAATGACCACGTCCGAAGCGGAGGCAGGTAAACAAACGATTTAGGAGCAAGGGCAAGTTTGGGTCGTTCCTCGGGTGACTGGCGAGTCGCCGTAGCACCACAGACAGCTGGCTGCAGCGAGTCGCAGGAGGCGGGCGAGTTCAGCGTGACACACTCGACTCTTCGACGCAAGAGACAGAGAAGAAGAGCGCGTAGTATGAAGAAGAGCGGAATACGGAGGAGTGGGAAAAAGGGCGGCAAGAGGGCGAGCATGGACGAGGCGCTGGCCGAGTCCCAGGGCGAGGTGTACAAGCTCGAGCTGTTCCAGCCTGTGGACGAGCGGTTCTACCTCGCTCAGTTTCCGCTCCAGCGAGGGAAAAAGGGCCAGCGCATCATCGGCGACGCTGCTACCATGCATAAGATCAACTACGCCATGAGGAGGTCGGTCCTGACCGGCCGCACCAACTCGCTCGAGCGCCACGAGCGCAAGGTCTGGCAGCTGGAGCAGCCGCCCACGGCCGGAAGCCGCAGCGGTAGCAAGGGCCGCGTGGCCAGCCGCCCGCCGCCGCCGTCGTCGGCAACCTCGTCGACCGCATCGTCGGCCGGTGTCGAGCCCGAGGTCTGGCGCGGCGAGCTGCTCGGCGTCGACTCGAACGACGCCACGTACGTGGTGATGAAGCGGAGCGCCAAGACCAAGACCATCAGCGTCTCGCTCATCTCGCGGTGGTACAACTTTAAGCGCCACATCGAGCGCGAGCTCAAGTCGCTGGACGAGGCCGAGAAGGAGCTTGCGGCGCGCGATCCCGAACTTCGGCTGCAGTTCCAGAAGAAGCAGCCGTACTTGACTGAGCGGGCCAAGCGGTTCATCCACCAGATTGTGGAGAAGGAGGATGTGGAGGACATTGTGTCGGTGAACGAAATGGTCGGCGGCTCGTCGCTGGTTCCGTCGCGCGAGTCGGCGGCGGCGTACATGGCGTTTACCCAGTTTGACACCGGCGACGAGGACGGCATGGCCGAGGCCCAGGGCCTCATCGACGACATCGAAGCCAACGACTTGGACGACTTTGCCATTGCCGACGACGACGAGGAGGGCGACATCATGGTCGAGCCCATCAACGAGGACGAGGAAGACGTCGAGGCGTACAAGCGCAAGTATGGCGACGACGACGATGACGAGAACGACGACGACGACGACGATCTGCCCGAGTTTGGCGACGACGACGACGCCGACGATGACGACGACGACGACGATGACGACGACGACGACGACGACGAAGACGACATTCGCGTCGAGGACCTCGACAAGCTCGCTTTCCGCAACAAGCCCAAGATCGCGCCCATCTCGCGCAAGCGCGCCCTCGATCGCGACGAGGACGCCGGCAACGGCGGCAGCGGCGGCGCCCGCCCAGCCAAGCGGGCCAAGCCGCTGTCGTCCGCACACGACACCGTCTCGCGCGAAGCTGTCCGCCAGTTCCTCCTCAAGCACTCGGGTGAGACCAAGGCTCAGGTACGCGCCGCTATGAGCGCCGAGTTCGGCAATGTCTCCAAGGCCGGCGCCCTCGAGCTGGGGAAGCTCTTCAAGGAGATGGCCAAGCAGGACAAGGCCTCAAACACGCTCTCGCTCAAGCCTGAGTTTCTTTAGCTGCTGATCACAGTAACATGAACGAGGAGGTTTAGCATCGTTGTGGCGTGGAGGCTCAGCATCGCGTTGTCAGTTGGCGTTTGTTGTTATGCTCTACGAGTTTGTGATCATCGTAAAATGGCACGAGCCTCCGGCCCAAGATCCAATCGGCGTGTCGACCCAACCATGCAGTCTTTACTCCTCTCTCCGGAATTACCCCTCCCGCTCGCAGGCTCGCGGTCGGGAGTCCCGGTGACAAACAGGGCTGTGGTGTGGATGACACAGTGCACACCCTGGGAGACCCCCTACATGAGGGGGCCGTACTGTCCTTGGACAGTGCGGGAGTCGTGGACAATGTAATTTTTGGGGTCGCGCGACCTTCGGCTTCATCCGCGCTCAGGGCACCGGATGAAGGGTAGCAACCAGTCACGGGCTCTGCCCGTGGCCGGGGGTGCACCCGGTGTCTTGAGCAGGCCGAGGAGCGTGTACCACCAGGAAGGGGGGCCAGGGGAGGAGCCGGCCCCCTGGGCGCCAGGACGCAGTCCGACTGGCGCCCTTGCACATCCTTCCTCGTGGTCAGAAATGACCCGCCAAACGTCATGCGACCGGAGTCCGCAAGGGGGTGCGGTCTCATTCGAAGGGGGTTGACCGGCGGTAGGTGCACCTACCGTTTGTCGCCCCCGTTGGTTGCGGTCAGGGATCCGTCCCTAAACGGCGCTGCGAGGTGTGGACGGATCAGCGGGGCGAGGGCGCATGCGCCCTGCTCACGCTGATCCTCCTAACCCCCCATGGGATGTGTGTCCATCCCGCCGTCGGTCCGCCGACGGCAACCAGTGTCGTCACATGTTGTCGGCATTATCATCCATATTGCCAACCTCTCCCTGGTGGACCGCCGGATGCTCGGTGGTCCTGAGCTGCAACCAGGACAGAGGTCGGCCTCTTGGAGGGTGGGATCTGAAGGAATATCGGTCGTCGGCGCCCCAGTGAGGGATTCCAAGTGACTAGAGTATCCTGCAGTCGATGTTGAGCACCCAACAAGTTGTACGCCGCACCACTTACGGATGTCCTATGTGGCGGCCGTCTTCTCGCCGTAGTGAGATCAGTGGTTCGCGGTACTTAGGGCCGGCGTACAATCCCACGGCAGGTGGCACCCTGCAGTTCCTGTAGGTGCTTCTCTGCTTAACTCCATGCAACAACTCTCCAGCACGTGATCTGGAACACAGGAGCTCTCAACAGCGCTGCTGTGTCTCGTCCATTGTCAACGCCATCTTCAACGCCATCTCCAACGCCCATCTCTTAACCCCCCCAACACGCCAGTTTACCCCCTTTTTTCGCCCCCTTCCCCCCTTCCCCCCTCTTTCTGGACAAGACCTCCTCCTGCACCCAAGATCCGATGCAACCTTATCGGGTCGGAGACCCCCTACCGTAAGGTTGGATAACTAACCCCTGCACCCGTGCAGGGCGGCATAATTGTTCTAATCGGCCCGGCTCACGCCGGTCCGATCCACGTCCTGACCCCTACCCAAGGCCAGGCCCCAAGTCCAAGCGCTTCATGCGTATGACGAGGCTCACGAGTAAGTTGGCGCCAGACGGGCCCGGACAGTCCCTTCCTACGGTCGGGGGCTTCGTCCGACGTTCGGTTGGTTGTGGACCCTCTAGTCTACATCATTAAACTGATTCACACACACACACACACACACCATGCAGTCTTTCCTCCATCCCCTCCTCCCGCATCACTCAGCTGAGTTGGATGTCGAATGCAGGATGTCGGGTGTCTTGATCAAGCCCTCCGCAATCGTCCTTACGTCGCCGCATACTCTATCTCTGCCGACGCAACAAAAAAGGAAGAACAATTTTTGTAACGAGACCAATTGACATTGGCACGGAACAGGGAGCAAGGCAAGTACGGCCACCGCTCGCTCAGCCCTCACCCCCCCCCCCCCCCCCCCCCCCCCCCTTTTGGGGCCCTTCTTTGCCACACAAACGAGTGCTGTTTGCC